TGTTTGGCATAGAGAAGACAATCCATAAATCATTATAATTATTTTCTTTGCAGGTGTGTGATATGTATGTGGGTATATCATTGTTATACTCACATTTTTTCCCCCTAAAAGTTGTTTTGTGAAAGTAAAAAATACTATCTTAAGTGGGCTTTGTGACAATTACATGCATTTACCTCCGTATAAAATTTTAGTTTTCCTGTGTCTCCCAAGTTATCAGAATATAGTTCTCTGCCCACATTTAAAAAAAAAATACTAGAAAAGGCCGGGCATGGTGGCACTCACCTGAAATCCCAGCACTTGGGAGGCTGAAACAGGAGGATCAAAGCCAGCCTCAGCAACAGCGAGGCACTAAGCAATTCAGTGGGACCCTGTCTCTAATAAAATACAAAATTGGGCTGGGGATGTGGTTCAGTGGTTAAGTACTCCTAAATTCAATCCCTGGTGCCCCCCCACACACAAAAAAAAAAATAGAAAAAATGAAAAAACTAGAAATGAACAGAAAAACTTCATGAATTCTGGAAGTTAATTCAGACTTTCAACTTCAAAAATGAAAAATGAAAACAAATGACAAAAACCTTACAGCCTCTAAGGATCAGTACAGATCCACAGAGGCCTCAACATGGAGTCAACCAGTTTCACTACTCTGCTCTACTCCCTGGGTCAGAAGCCTGTTTCCTCAGTTGTTGGTACTCACAAGTCCTCCACATTGCTGTGGAAAGAAGAGGAAGCTGTTTCCCACTCCCCAGATGATCCTCATTTACCTGCTAAACAGGTTCAGCAGTTCGAATTTTCCCTTCCTCTGCTATTTTGTTATATATTGCCTATTGGGCAACATGGTGATAGATATTTGGTTTCTATTTCCTTTGACCTCCTAGCTTTTTTCTTGGATTATTTCTTCCATCCTGTCTAACAGCTCTCCTAATCCAGGCATATGGAAATATGACTCATGATCTTCCATCTCTTCTGTAGGTGAAAGTTGAATCTCTTATTTGCTGGAGCTTGGTACCTAAACATGAATTGAAGAGCAGTGAATCATATGGAAGAAACAGAAAGTCTCTGAAAGAAAAAAACAAAAGAGACAAATAATTCTCCTTTAGAGAAATGTCTGTCTCCAAATCTTTACCTAAAGTTTATGGCTGCAGAGAGTGAATTCTAGTGAGAGCCAGAATTGAGAAAAGATCCAAACCCTATTTTGATGTAGTATCTTGTGAAACATTACACAACAAAAGTTGTAATACATTTTAGGTAGCCTTACAAGTAACATTTCAGGATGAGCTAGTAGAAGATCTTAGAGTAAAATGGGTATTCACTTAGGAGCAGTTTAGTAACTGTATGATGCTATAATATCTTTATGAAATCTCCTGTTCAGTCATTTATAATATGAGCGTTATTTGACCCCTTTATTGCCTTTAGAAATATGTAGGAATATTTTTTATTATTAGGATGACCGAGAGCTATTCCTTGCATATTGATAGCACTGACCAAGGATGCAGACATTCTGAGCATATTCCTGGATATTCAGTCCAGTAAAGAATTGGTTTTTACAAAATACCATAGAGGTTCCAACCAAGAAATACAGCAATATGGCTACAGATACACTGTCAAACCCAAAATCATGACACCCTGTTTTACATGTTACTGAGTATAATTCATCCTTTAACAAACACCTCTGGCTACATATATGAATTCTATAGTTTCAAAGTTGTGTATTCAGAATCAAAGACAGAAAGTCAAAATAGTTTCTTACTATAGTAAGTCAGAAAGAAAAAAATGCCTTGCAGTAAGAATCTGGTCCTTTCTACTTCTTCATCAGCTGAGGATTCTTGTTTCCAACAAAATATTTACAACTAAGGAAGTAAACTGCTCAGACTCAGAAAATAAAGCGCCACAGATGCCAAAGGTTTTGAAGTATATATGGATATATCTGTGCATACAAACACACTCAGATATGCACACATATGTTGTTATGCAAATTGGCAAAGACCAAGGCAGGCTATGTTTACTAAAAGAAAAATTCTCTGAGAAGGAGAAGTTTAATAAAAATGTAAATGATAATCTACAGGAATGACATTGGGCATCCTCAAGATAGAGATTCTGAGGTCTAGGAGATACATAATCATTACCACATTGTAAACAGGAGAACTAGTGAAAATTTCCTATGCTGGTAAAAACTTTTTCCAGCTGAAAATGCTTTTGGCTATTTGTTAAAATACTATTGTGCTTTTTGTTAGTGAACAGGGATTTTGACACTTACATGATTGTGTGGAGAGTTAAACTTGATGAGTCAGCAGCTGCAACATAACTTCTTGATTAGCATTGGGTGGACTTTAAAACTACCCAGGAAGTTCAAAAGTTCCACTCTTCTTTTTGATGTGCATATTTGAATGAATACAATTTTTACTTTGTACCACCTGATTCAATAGTTCTCTTAAACGTCTTGTTTCAAAGTGCCTGGTTAATTAGAAAATGCACTCAGGATCTGAATAGTTTTCATCTTTTTTTGAGATCCACATAAATAGAAAAAGTGCCTCTTTGTTCCTAGGACCATATTCTAACCTCTATGTGCTAGTTTCTACATGCTAAAATTTGTCAAAAAATATTTAGTAGGAAAAAAGTAATTCACCAAAGTCAAAATTCATATCTCTAATGAAATTATGAATAAATGCACTAGATTGCCTGAAATGCCCATCATTTTCCTTTATCCTCCAATTCCCCATGTTTTCATGGGGAAAATCTAGGAGGTCAAAGGAAATAGAAACCAAATGTCATGTATTCTATAATTTCAATTTCTTCTCAACCTCTACAGCCACTCTTCCTTTTGCACCCAGTCTACCTCCCAGTTAAAATTATGTCTTCTCACTCTTCATTGAGGAAAAACAGTAATTAGACACACACTCCCCCAATACCACAGCGTTAAATCTGTATATCTACCTGTATTTATTCCTATGTTCTCTATCTTGCTATTACAACTTTTGGAGTTTGGCTATTGAATTGTTCAGAGAAACTCTGGACTTTTCCTCTGAATCCCACATACCACTTCCCTTTCTTGTATAGTCAAGGTCCAGCTTTCTCCAGAATTATTCCACTGTCCTAAAGAGTTGCTTATACTAGCACACACCTTAAAATAAAATAAAATCTATTGCTGTAATTTTCTTGTCTTTACTAACAGTCAGACACCTTGCTAAATGACCCCATCAGCTTCATCCCCTCCACTTGATATATTCTTCCATTTGCTGAAATCCAATTTCCAAACCCACATCCCACAGAATATGCTCTTATCAACTTCAAAGACCACATCCACTTTGCTATTCTAATGACGACTTCTCTGCTCTCATTTAACTGACTCTCTTAGCATTCCTCCCAGTGATGATTCCTAAAATGTTTTCCTCTTTTGGCTCAGGGGTACCTCACTCACCTAGTTTCCTCTTCGTTCTCCTATGTCAGCTCCTCTTTCAACCTAAGGTGTAAAGCCATAGTTAACTTCATTTCAGATCTAGACCTCTTCGTGTTATGATCTCTACACCTAGGCGATCTCATACACAGTCATGACATTAAATTTTATCAAAATGCCAATGAATTTCAGATTTTCAAATTCACATATCTTCCTGTCAATCAGTACCTCCACTTCTATAGTCCTAAAAACTCAAGCATAAAAGATCCAAAACAAACTTCTTATTTTGGTGCTGCTCTCTGCCTGTTTCTTTCAAAGACATTCCATCTTTGTAAATGACATCAGCAACCATCAGATTGCTCAAGACAAAACCTAGGAATGGGGACTCCTTGATATCTTTGTAAGCATAACCTCCTTGTGAAATCCAAAGTAAATCCAAATGATGCAATCCAAAATGGCAGCACCATCATATCTCAAGTGGTACATGGAAACAAACGATCATGGTATCAGGTTAACAACCCCTGTCACTTCATCCCTCCCTTCTGTTAGTTAATGGGATAACCTCTGTCACTTCATCCCTGCCTTCTGTTAGTCAGTGGTATCCTATAATGTCCAACACAAAGTCTGCTTAAAACTTCCCAAAGGCTTCTGACTGTACATCTAATAAAATCCCAACACCACCTTAAAACTTGAAAAGTTCTGGATTGACCCAGTCCTTTTCTCACTTTCTAGTCTTATGTCATTGGACTCTCTTCTAATTTATTATACTTTCTCCTCATTAACCTATTTATGTTTCATTAATACCAAGTTTGTTTCTATCTCAGGACTTTCACTCTTTCCCTTATCTCTGCCTGACATGTATCACTTCTCATTATCAAACAAATGGTCTACTCTTTAGACCTTGTATCTAAGTTATTTCTTCAGAAACAATATTTCTTGACTACACATTTATAATGATTCTATATTCAATTTGGGCAGTTGCTCTTTCAACACATCACTATATTATATTTTCTTATCACTATTTGAAATGATTTGTATTTTCTATAATATTATTTTTTGTATTTTTTTATTATTTCTCCTCCTACATAATAAGCTTCCAAAGGACTAGATATTCACTGTTTCACATATAACTTCATATCAGTTACCAGAAATATGGAGCATGTGTTTGTTAAATTAGTGAATTTAAATAACTTCAAATATCACAGGAATAGGGTAATGAATTGTGTTTAAAATTCTTACAGAAATATTAAACGTAGTATTGCCCCATTATATAACTGACATTTCCCTGAGTTCCAAATTCACATGTAAAAACTGCTTCCTCAGTTTTTTTACTTGAGCATCTCATAGAAGCTCAAACTCTATCAAATCTAAAGCAGAATATTTGATTTAACCCCCCACCCCATTAATTTGTTTGGTCCATTGTTTCCCATCTTCTCTGTGGTACTCAAATAAAACTAAGAAATGAAAATGTTTGTTTAGGTAAGAGTAAAAAAAAAATCCAATTAAAGTTATGTGTTCTTCAATATGTATTTGTATTTCTCTTTGGTTAGTAGCTATCTCTATGTGACCAATCTATATTTTAAATAGCATATTTTGTTTTTCTACCTAGGATTTTGTTTTGTTTCACATGATCATATATGACTTTTAAAAGAAGAAAGTGAAAACATTAAAAACCAACTTGAGGATTCTATCAATTTATGGACTATGATGGGATACAAAGGACTACCAAAACTTTTTCATTGTTGTTCAAAAGCAGATCCTGGTAAGTATATAATAGTATAGAAATCAGGAGAAATGATAAAATTCTTAGGCCATAATTTTGGTTTTAGTCTTTATTTTGTATCTAAAGAAAAGCAAATCAGTAGTTGTAAGCCTTAAGGGTGGATTTATAAAAAAAAATAAAAAGATAAGACTTTTAGAAAAATGTATATTATTACAACTCCTAGAAGAAAATGTAGGGTCAACACTCCAGCATATCAGCACAGGCAACAATTTGCTCAATAGAACCCCTAAAACTCAGGAAATAATGCCAAGAGTTCATAAATGGGAAGGCATCAAGTTAAAAACCTTTTGGATATCAAAGGAAACAATGAAGGATGTGAGGAGAGAATTTAGACAATGGGAGAAAATTTTTGCTAACTATTCTTCTGACAGAGGATTAATATCCATAATATACAAGAGCTCAAAAACACCAAACAAAAAAACCAAACAAACCAATTAATAAATGGGCATATGAACTAGATAGATAGTTCACAAAAGAAGAAATACAAATGGCCAACAAATATATGAAAAAGTTTTCAACATAATTAGCAATTAGGAAAATTTAAGTCAAACTACACTGAGATTTTATATCACACCAGTCAGAATGAGAGTAGTCAAGAATTCAAATAATAATAAATGCTGGGGAGGATGTGGAGGAAAAAAACACTTTGAAACTGTTGATGGGATTGTAAATTAGCACTGGAAATAAGTACGGTGATTCCTCAAAAGACTAGGCATGGAACTACCTTATTACCCAACTATAACACTCCTTGGTATTTATCCTAAAGAATTAAAGTCATCTTACTATAGTAATACATACGTATCCATGTTTATAGCAACACAATTCACAATAGCCAAACTATGGAACCAGCCTAGGTGTCCATCAAAGGATGAATGGATAAAGAAAGTGTGTTATATACACAAAATGAAATTTTATTCAGCTACAAAGAAAAATAAAATTATGGCATTTTCAGAAAAATGGATGGAACTAGAGACCATGATGTTGAGTGAAATAAGCCAAACTCATAAGGCCAAGAGCCATGTTTTCTCTCATATGTAGAAGTTTGAAAAAAATAAAAAAATGGAGGGGGATGAGATCTCATGAATATCAAAGGGAGATCAGTAAAGGAAGGGGAGTGACCAGGGAATGGGAGGAGGGAAGTGCTGGGGAATGATACTGGCCACATTATATTGTTATATTGTATCCATGTACAAATATGTGACCATAAAATCTCATCATTGTGTACAACCATATGCACCAATAAGATTTCTATAAAAAGTGTATATTATTTCTAATATAATATTGATATCATTACCAGTTTGTAAGAAAAACAAACAAAAACAGTACCATTAGACTACATATTCTAAAATGTTAGTCAACTATCTTGAATGGGTAGTTTGTTGGGGTGTTTGCTGGTGGCTTCTTAGTATGCAAGTAGATACAGAAATTGGGATTAAATCAAAAACTTTTTTTTATAACATCTCTGTTTTATTTTAAAATCAATTCAAAATATATTTTAGAATAATTGGTGATAAATAACAAAAAAGTTTATTGTTTTGAATAGCTTGTACTTTATTAGGGATATAGTTTCTGGGAAATAAGCATCAAATTGCTTGCTATGAATGAATATACTGATATTTGTAATACTTCTACATCACTGGAGACCAGAAGTTTCGGGTAAAAGTAACAAAAGATGAGGTGCATAGCTTTATATAAAGATTTGATCACCTATGCAATGCTGAGAAGTTTATCCACAAGGTTAATGGCTTTCAACCTGTGCTTCCTTGGACAATTAGCTATCACCTTATGGGGAGCGTCACCTAAGATCAGCTCAAAGTAGACAGTGCACACCACCTCTGTCAGGGCTGGTCCTTTGACAAGCACTGACAAGCTGGGAAAGATTTTGAGGAGAGAGACACCTATGAAGAATTAAGGGAGGGCTGGGGATGTGGCTCAAGCGGTAGCGTGCTCGCCTGGCATTCGTGGGGCGCTGGGTTCGATCCTCGGCACGACATAAAAATAAAGATGTTGTGTCCACCGAACCGGACAGCATGAATACTGTGCTCACTCATTGCCTGGGATCAGATTGGTCTTAGGACAAAAATGATGGATTTGATGTATCCAGAGTCAACCATGCGCCCCCAACATGGTTTTAGAAAGGGATTCAAACATAACAAATAATCTTTAAATTCAGCAGCTTAAAACAATAAGTATTAGTCATCTTCTTCACAAGACTGTAGGTTGACAGGGACTGCTAGACTTCAGTCTTCTGCACATCTATAGGATCCAGGGAACTAGATTTGCTCCATCAGATTTATTCCAGGCTCAAGGCTTAAAGGGGCACTAGTTTTCCAGGGGAAAATTTTCTAATGCCAGATGCTGAAATCTCCCAGAAGGGAAGGCAGAACATATGATGTCTCTTGTGATGAGATTTGGATCTGAAATACTTCCACTTCTGTCATATTGCATTGGCCAATGCTAGTCACACAAAGTCCAATATCAATGTGTTGGGAAACTATATTATCTCTAAAAGAGGGAATACAAAGTCACCTTTGTAAATGCTTATAATGTAATTGGAAATGAATTCAATAAAGGGCATAGAATTGAAAAGAGAAATGCAGTCTACCATAGCTAGATAGTTCAAAGGTATGGACAAGGAACTCATGATTTTGATCCCTAGAGAAATTAGCATAGTAGAGACATTAAATTATAAGTAAGGAAGTGTGATCAATAGATCTATGTTAAATTTGATAATAATAAGTAGTGGATACATAAATTCATTTTCAAGTGTGAGTTCTATAAGAGGGAATAAGAATGAGAAAGAAAACATCTAAGGCTAGTATCACATATGTAAATCCCATAATTAAGATAGTAAAGGATTAAGAGCTCTGAAAAGAGGTGGCAATAGAAGTTCCAGATCAACCACAAAAACTGGAATTTATACTGCATGTATATATGGTATGTCAAAATACATTCTACCATCATGTATAACTAAAAAGAACAAAAAAGTTTTTTTTAAAAAAAATGTCCATAAAGTAAAAACAAAACCATGAGAGTGAAAGAAGTAAGTGAAATCAAGAGAGAAGTGATCTTCCAGAAGGTAAGGCATACAGCAAAATCTTGCAGACAGTTCAAAACGATGAGCTGACAAGTGTCCACTTAATGTGCTCATTAATCAGTTGTTGGTGATACTGATGATGATAATGTTGGATGAATGCTGGGGCTAGATGCAGACTGAAGTGGGTGGAGAAGGCAGAAACAGGAAACAGGCTTTTTAAGTTCAGAAACTTAGTTATGAGAGGAATGAAAATGACAAGAAAGCTAAAGGCTTGAATAGATCCAGAGATGAAGGGACAAGGTAAAATACTAGATAAGACCCTCTGAACAAATCACTGTTTTCTTCTCAATTTTCATCTCCTCTTTTGTTTTGTTATCCTTTTTCAAACTGCATAGACACTTCGAGCGCCTCCAACAGGTCATATTGTTTTGCTTGGACAAACCATTGTGTGTGTGTGTGTGTGTGTGTGTGTGTGTGTGTGTGTGTGTGTGCGCGCGCGCGAGAGCGCGTGTGCCCTATTGCCTGTTTGAAATAACTTTTCACGGCAAGGCATTCTCTTGTATTCTCAGATTTCTTTTGGGACAAGTACTACCATTTAGCTTACCTACTATGCTCTAGGCTCTGTGTTGGAGTACAAGATCAATTGTCTCAATGATGTCATGAAAACTGTGTTATAAGCATAAAAATCTCCATTTTAGAGGTGAAAAGCTGGACTTAGAAAAATATGAAGACTTGCCCAGATACATATTATTGGTGATAGGTCATAAATTTGAATTTCTGACTGTCTGCAAAGCCTGTGTTCTAATCTGAGTTTAATTAAGAATCTACTTTTGTAGATTGAGGAGAGAGACACCTTTGATGAATTAAGGGAGGCAGTGAAGGATTAGGGGGTAAGATCCTTCCTATAATCAGTGGAGAGACAAAGGAGGTTTTGCATTATAAACTTAGTGTTGATTTTACCCACCTTTGCAACACAAATACATCTTGCATATGTCCACACTAGCACTAATGAGAATATTTTGTACCATTAAGTAGAATATGGAGTACTCTTATAGACAACAAGGAGCCATACACCTATCTACGTAGGGAATGGCATATCACTTAGACTTTGAGAGAGAAAATACTGTGTTAATAGGGATGATGAATTGGAAAAGAAAAAACTAGAACTAGAGGTAAACAATTTTCTAACCCAAGTGAGAGAGATTAGGGACTAATTGAAAATGTCACAGACAGCCTAAAAATAAAAGAAAATCAGTGAGAGAGGTTTAAGAAGCAGAATCACTAGGACTTGGACAGTTGGATGGGAGGAGAGTGATACACACAGCTTTCTAGCTGAATGTATTCAATGGATTGGATGGATTGAATGGATTGATGTATCTCAATGAAAATGGAAATATGAGAGAGAGAACAGATTTGAGGAGGAAGTGTGGAGCCAACTATGAAATATGTGTGAGATATGGAGGAGGGGGAAGAGACAACAACAAAGAGATCTTGAGTCAGTAGACTTACAACCAAGTCTGAGACATTTTATATCCAATACTCATTTGATCTACATCGAGTTTTGGTTCCTAATTATCTGTGGATTTTGACTCAGAATGAGCTGGTAGCCAAATGAATTTATTTGCAAAACTTCTCAAAAGAACACTGTTTCTCAGTTTCCTATAGCAAAATAAATACATATTCTGCAAAAATATTTTATTTTAGTTAAAAAAGAAACTTTTATGGCTATTTTAAGTTGGTGTTGCAGAAATGCTATATAATGCCCACCGGCATAACTTCTACCCATTGGTTTCATGCTTCTATGATGATAGTGACTGTACAATCTGGGTGTTACTTCCTGGATTACTTTTGCTCCTACAAATGGGGAGAGTCCATCAGGATTGACTGTGAGCCTCAGGGAACATACAATTGCTATTTGGTAAAGGAGAAAGCACAGCATAAT